CCCACTAACTACATGTTCGTCCGCCCCTGATCATGCAGTTTATTTCTGGTAGGACTGGTATCGGTTCGATAACCGAACCGATAGCATAAAACCGAAACTGAACCGATAGGTTTCAGTTTCACTAATATTCAAACCGAAACCTAACAGATAAGAGGTCGGTAAACAATTTTTTGGTTAGCGATAGGCGGTTCGGTTTCGGTTAAACCGATAAAAAACGAAAGAACCGAAATTATTGTTCACTGGCAGAGGGAAAGAAAAAAACAAAACCAGCAGGCAACAGACTTCGTGGGCATACAGAAAAAAAAATGTCTATTCTGATGAACAAATAATAAATAACATGCTTAACAAATAAGTAAAGGAAAGAGGCGAAAGTGAGATGAACGGTGAACTCGCGTCGGGGTAGAGACTCAATCAATTCTGATTTATCGCGCGAAGGTGAAGGAGAACGGGAAAGACAAGTCTGTCTACTGATTTCTGATGTAATTCCTATCCCTAAATTCAATTGGTCAAGTAATCTATTTAAGACATTTTATTAGCTTAATTTATTATTTTTTAACTAATATATCTCCCTATATATAATTCTCGAATACGCTGAGCCTAAGCGGCAAACTCGCATGCTTCGGGATCCTAGGTGTCAAAGTTTCATGATTCATTATTTGACTTGGATAGATTTTAATTTAATTCCCATCCAAAAACAATTAGGTTCGGATTACCATAAACATGTGAGTTTATTTATGATCATTTTAGATGTATTAATTGTATTATAATATCATTTCCTATTATAACCATTGAATTGTAAACGTATTTTAAAAGTTGACAACTCTTGTAATTCTTATAGGTTTTACATATATAATATATCAAATTAAATATCTTTTGATTAGCTTCGATTTGACATTCATATTGTATATATATAATAAATAAGCTATATTTATTTTTATAATAATAAAAATATTTATTAAAATTAATTAAAAAATAAAATTATTTCTCAATTAATATATTTATGTTTAATGTAGTTATATGTTATAAGTTTGAAAAATTATTATAATATAACACATGTAAGTCGCACAAGTTACAAATGCCATACTAAAATATATAATAATAGATTTTTTTATATAAAGTATTTAAATTTGCAACCACTTTTTCTCAATAATTTTAAATTTTAAGACAACATTTTAGCAAGCACCCGTGTAATACACAGTTGTTGTACTAGTAACTTTTATTAATACCTAATAAATTAGTAATCTATATATTATCTGACATCTATTTTTTTAAAAATATATTATCGGTTCAGTTCTGTAAAAACATCATCCTAATGGGTTCGGAATCGATATCAAACAGATAAGTATTCGGTAACTGATAACCGGTTACCGTTACACGTTGAGTCAGTTCAGTTCAGTTTGGTTTATTTTCTCATTGATTTGATTCGGTTTTGAATTATCGGTTAAAAAATACCAACCTTAATTTCTTGAGCTCAAATGACCATTTGGTGTTTTGGATTCCTGCATTTTTGTGAATTACTGTATGTTATGCCTTTAAAATTTGGGTAAAAGTATCTTGCACAGTTAATTCTGTTGGAAAATTTCAAAAACCAAAGTACCCATTGGTGGAGGATCAACATTAGTGCAAAAAGCTTGAGAAATAAAAGCACAAAAACCATTTTGCTGTGAATAGCCTTTCAGTATTAATTGCTGCATAAAGAGGATGACATACATGCCTTATATATAGGCTACAGTAACCCTACGACCTGTAAACCCTAGCCCAGGAACCAATAAGAGAATCCCTGGTGTTGCATGCTCACATGCATAGGTACAGTGCAGAAGAGGACGAATACAACAATGCAAGTGTGAGCTAAGGTGTGAATGCAAAGAAGTTAACTGATTTTGGCATCTTGTTTATCACTCCCCCTCAATTCTTGGGCAGGTGAGGAAAGCACTTGAAGTTGCTTTTGGAGCCTGGAGAAGAATTGGAGTGATAGTGGCTTGGTTAAAACATCGGCCACTTGATAATGTGTGGGAACATGTTGCACTTTCAGTAGCTGATTTGCAATTTGATCACGCACAAAATGGAAATCAATTTCTATGTGCTTAGTGCGAGCGTGGAGAACAGATTGCTGGCCAGAGAGATAGTGCTTAAGTTGTCTATCCACACAATTGGTGTCTGAGGCAAGGAGACATGAAGTTCCTTTAAGAGGGACTGAATCCAAGTTATCTCTGCAGTGGCATGGGCAAGGCTCCTATACTCGGCCTCGGTGCTTGATCTGGAGATGGAGGCTTGCTTTTTCGAGCACCATGATATATGATTCCTTCCTAGGTAAACACACAGACCAGTGATGGATTTTCTATCATCTAAATCAGCACCCCAATCTGAATCTGAAAAACCTGTGAGAATAGGAGATGACTAGCTAGTGTAGTGAAGACCATAATTTGAGGTTCCTGCAAGAAATCTCAGAATTCTCTTAGCAGCTTTGAGATGAGTATCCAAAGGTGCTTGCATGAATTGGTACACTTTGTTGACACTGAAGGCAATGTCTGGTCTAGTGATGGTAGCATATTGAAGTGAGCCAACCAAGCTTCTGTAAGCTGAGACATTTTCAATTAGAGATCCTTGTGTTTTGGTTAAAACAAGAGTTGTGAGCATTGGAGTTGATGTACTGAGTTTGTGACAAATGAATGCCTGAGATGTCTTGATCACTTCAATACCTAGAAAATGGTGTATCTCCCCAAGATCCTTTAAAGAAAAGGCAGCTGCAAGTTGTTGAATGTGGTTTGTACTGCAGTGGTATTATTCCCAGTGACTAGGATATCATCAATATAGACAATGAGCCAATTCAAAGTGGAACAGGACTTCTTGACATAGAGAGATGTGTCTGACTTTGAATTAGTGAAATGAAGGTTCTGCAGAACATCTTCCAACTTAGTGAAGCAAGCTCTAGGAGCTTGTTTTAAAACCATAGATAGAT